CCAGCTTTGATCTCCTGGACAGGATAGACAAGACTCTCTCGCTCCTTGTCATCCACTGCGTCTTCAGCTTTTCCGTATTCCACAGTTGCGAACTGCGTCTGTGATCCAATTCGGTAGGGAATTCAGTTCAGATGAGGAGGGAGGTAGGAATGATAGCGCTCTTCGTCCGATGGCGTGTATAGAGTCCCTTACTCTGTTGAGGACTCGTCGAAATGCGCTTGATCCTGTATTCATTTCAACGTTTTTCTCCCAAATGCCAGTGGTTAGGAATCCCTTAAAGGATGGGATGTTCAGTAGCAGGAGTACCGTGCATGTCCCAAGATCCTCCCAAGGCACTACCCCTCCTCGACTAATTTCCTATTCTATCCTTTCTATTCTGCGCCATAACTCAATTATTAGACCAGATCCATTTCGGCAACCAAACTTTCCGCGACTCGAATTCGATCCGCTCCCTTGGGTTTTACCTTGTTGCTTTTGGTGATCATCAAGGAAGTGTGGGATCGTCATGTACTGTTCCTCTTGGATTGTAGTTCGTCTGAGTCGTCAGGGAGCCAAAGTAGTCATGTGGGTAGCCCCGATCACATGTAGGTAGAAACCTATCACCTTGACAGAAATCACCAGTCAGAAAGATGAGTTCTTCTCTATTGAAAAGATCGAATAAAAAGATTTAGGTCTAGTAATCAGCCCCCTAGAACATTGGGACATCTCGTACTCCAGCAGCACTTTGACCATAAGCGTCTTGAATCATATTTAGCAAGCCATTCTTGGAGTTCATTAGTGTCGGAAAAGGACGACCCAATTGACTGAGTCCTCTAATGACCTGTGAAAAACGAAAGACAAAGGAGTTCCCTAATTCTCCTACCGTAACCGTTTCTTGAAATTATTGCAAACGAGGTCCACATGAGGAAGAAACACAAAGGATCCCAGAAGCGTGGTAGAGGAGGAGGATCAGGAAATCCGGCTGCAGACATCAACAGTATGAATGAACTTCGTGCTCCGGTCCGGAAAGATTGATATTACAAACTACCGCTCTTTCTTGACCGAAGGAGAAAGTTTGATAGTAAAATCCATATGTTCTGGAATATTCCCAGCCCATTTCCTCCTGCAAGCATCTCCGTTACGTTCATTTCGCGGAATCTTCCATTGTTGACAAAACGACTCGTTGGTCAGTTAGAGCTTCGAAACACGGTAACCTAATATTCACCGCTAGGCCGGCTGATGATTTACGTTATTGAATTTTACAATTTTGCTAAATTACCGGAGTTTTTGGAGTTTCCGCACGACGCTTCCGCTTTGACTGCACGTTCTTTTAGATCCTCTTTCTGGGAACCCTTTTTCTGTCAGATGGGTAAGGTCATGGGATTGTGATTTGGTCTACTTAGGCACATATGAAGTGCAAGTTTTTATGGGAAGAGAGATTCTAATTTAAATGGCTGGGGTGGGATTTGGTTTATGAAGCTCGTTTGGGGTTATGCCGCCTGTTACCTCTTACCTTTTACAGCAGTGTGCCAATACTGGTAATTCCAAGGCATAAGACCGCTTCTCGTTGTGAATGTGAACTTTACGCAATCACCCTACAAACTCGAACCAAAAAGCTCCCATGGGAGTCTATTTCCATAACAGAGTGGGAGAGGTGTGATGATAGAAATAAACCTATTCGTCTTTTGGCTGATTGCGGTGTTGCCCTTCGTGTTTTGTCGGAAACGTGAACGCCTTGAATCGCATCTATCATCCATTCAGCGACACTACCGACTTTCTAGTTACGTTGCTGGTACGCCGAAAGGACCGTGATGCCTTTGATACTACTCAATTTTTTTGCACTTTCATTCTGTAGCCACAGGAAGACGAGGGCGTATCATCTCCTACAGGACCTTTTCATCCATTATTTGAAAGCGGTCGTTAGGTCTGGTTTTCGGCTGTTCGAATTCGCTGCACGCTCATATCTCGCCGCCCAAAAATGTGTTGTGGCCCAAATATGGGCCATTACACTTTCCTTTGTCCATGAACTTTATCAGTAAGTTCCTCTTTTCTTTAAAGTGCAACTGTCTCCAATAAATCTTGTTGAGGTCAAATTGGTCTGTTTCTGAGAACATCGAGGACATTACGGCCCACTGCTGGGCTTCGGCCTCGCAGGTCGTTGGATTATTTTTTTATCATTTTACAATAGAGTTACTTACATATATAGTCTTCTGCTGTTTGAAGGTCGTTACCTATTAGTGGGCGGAGTCGGTGAAGAGAGGTGGGCACTTTGAACCCGCTTTTCTTCAGTCAGGGCGAAGGGGAGTATTAGGAGTGGACAATGGTCACGCGAACTGTAGTTCAGTCACTGTTTCGTAAAGTTGGCACGGGAGCACTCGCACATTTGTGGGGTCACGCTCACCTCAAATTTTATATACGTCGTAAGCAGGGCCTTTTGAGGGCTAATGATAGGGCTAACGACTTTCCAATTCGTCGTGTAACTACCCAAACTTTTGCAGGATCTCCTTTACCGAATGCCCAGATTTTAAGAGTTGTAGTGCCGGATGGTTCAACCATAAAATCTTCCCTGGATATCTTAAACAATTCTGTAACCAACAGGAAACCGTGTATCGTGTTACGTACCAATCTTTCATGTTTTCTCTTCTCTTGTTTCTCATTCGTTCAACGTTTCCTTCGTTATCTATGAGTTTGTGGTTAGCTTCTCCTTTCGTACCTGCTCAATCTCGATTCTACATGGCATGAGTCCCGCCCATCTGGGAAACCACGCCCATCAAGGTTTTCATTGTTTTAACTCATTTCCATCACGCAATTGTTTCTTCTTCTTCTCATGTTTTCTATCCATTCAGCCCGACTGTATGTTGTGCCTTTTGTCACGATCCCACTCTACAAAAGTGCCTCTCTTCGAGTAGTCTTACTGCTTGATTTAAGGCTGAGCTTCTGAAAATGGGCAACGAATCATCGGCTTTGACGAAATTGCGACGTGAAAGCAAAGACAAAACTCAACCAATGATCATGGAGTGCGAGGAACGGAAGTCAGTGCAATGATTCTATTCGTTTCAAACAGATGTGCGATGAGTTGAAGATTTTGGGGTCGATTCTTGGCAAATTTAACTATTTGTCCACTTCCCTTTTTGTTTCCTCGTAGTCAAGTGCTATGTGTCATTAGGTCTGATTTTGAATATATAGAGGCATGCTCAATTAACCAATGACCAATCGACCAGTCATGCAAGCATGCCAGTATTTATGAAGAAAAAAGAAGGGAGAGAAGTGTTTTTATCGATCCCCATCATCTTTATCGAGTACGATTAACTTGCACAATCGATGACCATCAAGAAATTAAGCAGCTGTTATACCAACTGATTGGTAGCAAAACCGTCCCTGGAAATAGACTGAATTGGATCTATGGCTACAACAAGTTTATCCGGCTACGCAATTGAATGTTTTCGCAATCCTTCATGGAAATCAAATGCATGGCGCGACTCGAGATCTGAAAGAAGAGTCAGGAACGCTTTTCTGATGATGTTCTGCTCTTTCTTGTGATATCCTAAGAAAAGAAAAGATTCCCATTTCAGTAATTAAACTTTACATTGTAGGCGCGTGTACAAAGTTTGCCTTACCAATTACCAAGGCCTCATCCAGAGCTTTTTTCGATTTCTATAAATAATATATGCATTTCTTAAGTTTGCTGCTGACTCAGTCCGCCCTATTCTCTCCTTTTCCTAGAATGGGAGAATATGGAAGCGCTCTGGGGAGAGTCAGCCCCTTCCAATACGTCTAATTGAACTTGGAAGAAAAATAGATTTAAAACAGCACCGTAGAACGATCACAGAATGGCTTTACTCCTCAGTTGGTGGAGGCGAAAAAAGTTGTCCTTTACACTTTGTCTCCCGGACAAAGATTCCCCCAAAAGAACCGTAAAATGCATTTGAGAACTCGCTTCTGAGGTATCCCGAGCTTCTGGGAAACCGGAGCAGAGAACAATCTGAGGAAATTTCCGGAACGAAAGTATGAATCAGACAAGATTGGGAGAAAGATAGCTACCAATCAGAGAAATAGCTTTCGTTGGGCACCTATCATGATTGTGCACAAGCAAATTCTTCAGAAAATTGCTATTTTACGCAACTTTGAAATTTTTATTATCATCAATTTCAGTTTAACTCCGATGTATCGAAAGAAACCGGGGCGAAGTATGAGCCATGGCCGATACAGTAACGAAATGCGGAGGATGTCACCTCAAAAATGGCGACCAGAACCAGATGGAACGATAAAAGTGAAAAGAGCTGAAACCGTTGCAGTGCCAAGTCAACGTGGGTACCGTTTAGAATATTAGAGGAGCAGTTCATGGTAGAAATGGCTGAGATATCCCCATAGGATAAATCCAATTGTACACCATATGTGGTGTTGTCAGGTCGGAAAAAGGCCTAGATAGGGCGTTGTAAAGGCTCGAAGATTGTCGCGTGTGTATGCGTGGACGAGTTTCAGCGGCATTGTTGAGGCTGCACCATTCACAGGGGAGCCCATGTTGAAAATTCAAACAACTTGTCATGACCCATACCGTCAGTGAAAAGAAATTTTGGGCAGTTCTGGCTTAATAAAGACAGCTCTATGTGCAATTGCAACAACTGAAGTCTCGTCCAAATACTCCTTTCACGTCGTTTCCGTGATGGTAATCTCGTACAACCTCTGGAAATCTCGTCCTAATACATTCGTTATGGTAAACTCGTACAGCCTCTGCTTTCACTAGTTTTGAGTAACTTTTTTTTGCAAAATCGCAAATTTATTCGCTTCCTTCACCACCAATGTACTATTCTCAACCAATACTCCGCTTTTTGACTTGAAAAGGGTACCTCAAAACTATCGTGAACTGTGTCTTCTAGGAATTAAACAAAAAGCTACTCAGTGTGGATGCCCCTGTTTTCATGATAGCTCAAATTTTTTTCTTTCAGAAAGGGACTGATTTTATCTGCTCTATCCATTTCATAAAGTCGCTCATGTTTTATTTCTGATTCACTCTTTTAGAAGGAGCCCTTTACAACCGGACCCACCTGGCAGCACCTGATAAGGCAGAAGCGTTCTTGTCACCGCCTACTCCAGATCGGAAACGAAGTCGTAGTATATGTGGTGGTCAGATTGGTATGGATTCACAGGTCAGTGATATTCCACAAAAGGTAGACTTCGTTTATTGTAGGTTTTCCCATGGCCGAGTCCTGATGATGTCAGCTAAAGGCATAATTGGATGGGCGGGGCTTAGTCCACCCTCGCATTAGTTTGTTACATCTTTTCGTAAACGCCCTTCATGAATAGTCAATTGTGACTTCGGGGTAGTCCGCCATTTGCAGTCCAGCCTTCTCTCAGTCATCCCTCCATCCCACCTTTCTTCCCTCTCCGGTTCCGTCGTCCCTTCTCTTTGTGCCTTCCAGGATTCTTCGAAATCGTTTTTACCCCACCCGGTTGTTCTTAAAGGACACATGCCAGCTAAATTCAATTATAGAAGGCGTATTGTTTACAGGCAGTGGGAATGGCAGCGACGACGAAAATGAATGACGACTCTCGAAGTGGCGGTCTATTGGCCACAGCGAACGGTAGCAGTCGGAAGATGTCCACCGGTGGTTTGGTGCCTTCGCTGAATCGGCTTCGAATACAGCAAAGCTTCAAAGCGGCCAGGTTAGCCTTTTCAACATTGTTTTAATTTTCAGACGACGTTAGATGGTATCCGTCGCCAGGTGGCAAGTGTCAGGTGATGAAAGGTAGTTTTAGCGGAGCTTCCAGAAGATTTTCAAACTTTTTTTTTCGGGTTTCGGTACAATCGATGCACTCTGAGGATTTCCGATCGTATCTTTAACCCATTCCGCTGAAATCCAACAAAAAAGTGCTGGTTGATAGGGAAAAAATCTGTGGTCCCTGAAGACTGTGGACCGTTCCCTGCGAGACCTCAATCCGGCTAATCTCGATCTTTTCAGACCAACCATCGGTGAGGCCATCCTAAAACGTGCCATAAGCAATCGTCCTGAAATGCGTACATTCATGAATCGATTAAGTGAACAACAGATCGATATCATGGGTAAACAATTCTATTCGCTCATAGCCGATTCCGTTGAGCACATTGAACATCCCGAAGCGGTACGTTCTGGGTTACTGTAGGTCCTGCAGTACATGTCTATTTATGGAAAGTTCCCTCTGAAGGACTGTATCCGTGATTGTTTCAGGTTCAGCAACATGCCAAAGCATTTGGCGAGTCCTACGCGGCATTATGTCAGATCGGTTTTCGGCCTGACTATTTTGCTCCTCTGGCCGATGCTGCAATTGCAGAATGTGTCAAACTTGATGGCGGAGCTCACAAGAGGTTCGTACTGTAGCTATCAGGTCACACACAACCTTTAGGCTTTTCTGAATGATCCTCTTCGGATTTACTCTCCTCCGTTGCAATAAATGCTCAATAACCCGGCCGTCTTTCATAAAAGTTCCATGTTTTGGGATGCCTTGCTTTCAGAAAAACGAAAGCTTCAATTTGCTGATCGGTCACAAAATATAGGAGCCAGAAAATATCGACTTTCCTTAGCTTCCCGATCAATAAATGTCCTGGAACGGTGGGCAGATATTTGAACTTCCCGACGGAACAAGACCCAGCGCTTAGGTGCCGATTTGGGAACGTTTAAAGGTTCTGGACTCCATAAATATACAGTCGAGTCGCCCGGGTGTTGGATTTCCTACCCGAAAAGCTCGCCGCACCCGCTTGATCGGACTTGCTTAAATGCGCACTGAGAAGGGAATGCTTGAATGGACCATGTGGTCTTTCTCCTAATCTCGACATAGCTACGCTTGTTTTTTGTCCTGTTTCAAGCCTTCCCGAGGTTCACAAAACCATCCAGCTTAGCCTCGGCCTCTTCGCCTTCTTCAGAGCCTGAAAGCCGAAAAACGAATTCCGAACGAATGGGAATGCTTGAGTTTCAAAGAAGATTACGGTAGCTGTGCAAAGCCGCCAGCGCTTGCTATAGGAGTTCGGGGGAATGGAAATTTCCTTCGCCCCAATCGGACAGTTAGCGTGGGTGCAGCCACTGGTGTCAACCGTCTACGATCCTGTTGTTCCCTGGATCATACACCAAAGGCTTGGCTCAACTATTGACTCGGAAAGTGACGAATCCGGCGGTTTTTATCTTTTCAGCACAACTCGTAATGATAACTATCCCGGTAATGCCGATCAATATACTGTAGCTGACCAGTTATTCATTATTTTTCTGCCTGAAACTGGAAACTCTATACCGAAATTAACTTTTTCACACTTCGACACACAGGGAGACCCCGGTGTAAGCCGTTAGATCCCACGGATAGGAGGTTTCATAAACTTAGAACTAGTTTATGGGAAAGCTCACGAGGGTCAATCTTGCGGGGTGATGGGGGAGGTTCCACACCAGGACGTTCCACCAGCAAAAAGGATTACTTTAAAAAAGATCCACACCTCGGTGTCCCCTACGTCTTCTCCGTCTATCATCGCCATTTCATGAGTGTCGACCTTAACAGTCCCATCCTGAACCTATCATATGAAAGTTTTTCCTATTACAACGAAGTAAACTACGATACCTCATCTTCTGGAGAATGGCAGAAGGCATCAAACTTCATAAATCCAATGACATCAATCTTGGAGGCAGAACTAATTTGAAGCGTTCAGGTGTGAAACGCTTTTGGCATGGAGCCAACTGATCAGTGCAATTTTTACATCTGTTCGGGACGGGTACTACAGTCGTGTGCGGTACCAGAGGCGGTGGGTCCTTTTTTTTTCTTTGATTTCACCGTTTTCTGTGATACATCTTGATTCCCAGTAATCTTTTTCTATATTCTGTAACATTTTTTGATAGCCCTGGGTCAAATGTTGAACCAAAAGTGTGGTACTGGACTACGAATTGCGGAGAGGCTACGGACCTATTCAGAAGACCCTGTGTTTCTGAGCGAGGTCTGCTCAAATGGCATATGCTTAGGTGATTTGACAGGGCATCTTCCACATCGTTAAGAAGACCAAGAAAAAACACAAAACTCACTTCATTTCTTCAATTTTCTCATATCTTTCCTCCATTCCTGATCTCAGTTTTTCAAGACGGGATTTCTTTGTAAGGATTTTATTAAATGATCTCTGCAGGTAGTGCAAACTTGCTTCCGACTTGATTATTTTTCCGATTTTTAGGTCTTCATTACCACAAGGGGTGATTGCAAAACAGCTATCCGTCGATCTTACCAAAAGCATTGATCAAGACGCGTATATTCGATGAACTCTTGTCTCAGTTACAGATTTCCTTGGGCTGGAAATCCTTCTTCTATAGGGTAAGTGACTAAATCGCTTCCGCGTTTAGAGTTAGCTTGAACGCTTGTCGCCAATAATAATCAATATTCAGATCATGTCAGCATTATGGATTTCGTATGGTCTCAAATGGCCAGTGGCAAGCTTTTCTGTTACCAATCAAACTTTAATGTAACCAAAGTGGATGCGCTTCGTTGCGCGCGTCCGTCGAAACTAGGTCACGTCGCACGCGGCGGGTCAGTCCGCGATCTTTGATAAATGCCGCAGATGACAGGGGGCATGAATTGCGCTTGGTCCACGGCATTCAGCTAAAAGAGAAGATAACACGTTCAAATGCAATCATTCGCTACACTGACACTGGTGATGCTGTAATGTCATCTCGAGGGGTGTGATGCATTAGGAATGAAATGGTCGCGTCGCGGTGAGAGGGGCGTCGCGCGCGAAGGAATGTAGCAGGATGCAGCAGTAGGTAAGAAATACAAGAACAAAAGTACTAATAGTAGAATTATGCATAAAATAATGATCGCATATCGATTGGGCTGTATGAAGGACACTAGAGCTGTAATAANGGCGAATGAGTGGTCCACGACAGCCGCGTGCGGCGAATCGATTACCCAAAATTGTTCCTAACGCCCATCTCCCCATCTCGAGACCTCACTGGGGTGCGCCGCGTGGGGTGACCTATTTCGATGGACGCGTGCAACGGACGTTCTCCAACTGAAATAGCGCATTGTGAATGTGTAGAAGCCAAGCCAGATTGTAAAAGATTTTTTGTACATACGAAATCCCTTGATTCTCTTTTCATACATGTTTTAGATAGATGATTATCAGTTTTTGAGCTTACACCAATGATATTTGTCGATGATTATTGATATTCGATGATCTCATCTTGTGGTTAGTGATGATCTTGAATGATCCACATCCGAAGTATGCATATTGATTACTTGTAATGAGGTCCTAATTCGCTCCGGGTTGTGTGCATGCATATGTATTTGTATTTTTCCGTGTTATCAGTGTTTATCAACGTTATTGGTAACCTACTGTATTTTCCCGTGTTATCAGTGCTTATAATCATAAATAGTTTGCTTCTTCAAGTGCTGATGCTTTTTCGTAGGGTCTACTCCTGCTTATACGCTTATTATTTGTACAATTCTAAACATTTTGTGTGTTAAATTGTGAGTTATAATGAATATTTTTTATTAAAATTCACAAAAATACCCTTGCTTTAGATGTATTGCGAGTATACCGCAATTCTACGGGGAAAAAAATAAACAGTGAGCTGGTGAGCTTTTTTTTTTCGATTACACCACGTCGAACTACGTTTGTTAAGCTCGTTATCAACTAAAGAATAATCTTGTGGTGGGGTACATTGCCATGACATACGCGGCTCTTCTGCTAAGTCTCAGCGTTCCTTGCAAAACATAATGTGCCACTTCGACTTATTCCTCGCCACATCTACAGTCTTATCATGTCGAGATCCTTCAAATAGAGATTATCCTTTTTAATAATCTAATAATCATCGTAGTGCCATGGGAAAACAAAAACGTCGTAACCTTTTGATCGCCACCAACATTTGCCCAGTGATAGTCGCGCTTAACGACACAAGGGTTTATACTGCCCCCGAATGGTATCTTTCGCTAGTCACGTTTGGCCTTCATTATTAACATTATTCACATTTAACACATCAACATATTAACATCGTCATTATTAACATCGTATATATACTTATGTACCATATATAAATGTAGAACATACATCTTTGCGAGAACTTTGTGCGCCCCATCGCAGACCCTTGCTCCATGGCGAATTCTGCCAAAACTCATCGAAGAAAAAGATCAGTGAGGAAGTTCACTAAGGGTGTTCTCACATAGACAGTTATTCTTATATTGTTTTTCTCCGCTTAAGTGATTCATTCGTTTCGTTCAATGAGTCTAACTGCGCTTATTCCCCATAACCGAGTGGCTATACTTTCTTGGCGGGACTCCACAAAGAGCGAACCTATCGACCAATCAATCCATGCCATGTCTGATCTCCCGCCTTCAAATGTTTCAATCATTTACGTGTTTCATTCTCCATTTTTCATACCGATATCTCCATCAGTCCCGATTACGGGTCGATTACTAACTTGACAAAATGTTCGGTGTCTCTCTGCAGAAGTGTTTTTTTTTTTTGA